CCATTACAAACTATATTATTGGAAAATACACATTGCTCTTTGTATTGTTGTAAAATATTCATGAAAAACAAGATAACAAAAATCAAAAAGATAAATTATTTTAGATATAGCCATGTTTTAAATGTATAGCACAGATGTTAATTGAGGCAGCAACATACAAACTTTCTAGAACAACATGGACCTGGATAGCTGGTTTTTATGAAGGACAGTGAAGAGGAAGAGGGTGCAAATCAAACAGCTCATTCTCAGACTAAACAGCAAACAGCTTAAGTTTTTAGTGCTTTGTTTGAGGTTTTTAGTGCTCTGTCCTATCTATTATCAACATATAATAGATGGAACAGAACAAGAAAGGCAATTAATAATCTGTCATTGCGTCACTGCATTATGATATGAAAGGCTCAGTACAGTGTGGCACAAAACGCTTATGCGCATCCCGAGTGGAGAATGATGCGCTTAAAGCCACATGGAGTTACAGCGCACAGCGTATCGAGTCCGCATTGATGCAAGCTCTACAATACACTTCTTTTTGATAGTCAAAGCGGGGGTTACGTTTTTACACGTCGTACAGAATAACCCTAAAGGCACCAAGGTGGCGGTGCCACCGGCTTTATATTAAATATAAATATAGCTGTGAGCAGCGATAAAGGGCCAAAGCCGGCGGTACCACCATCCCGGTGCCTTTGGGTAACTAAAGGCATCGGGGTTGCGGTGCCACCGGCTTGGGCCCGCAATCGCTGCTCGCAGCTATATTTTGGTTTGTTTTTTTGTTTTTTTTGTTTCTTTTCTTTTTGTCCAGCAAATGATATTATAACATTGTGCAGCACTTACCAAAGGCTAGCACCTACCGTAGATGTGGTGTGGTTTCACGTGTAATATTCAGTTTTAAGCTTGCTGTGTATAGAATTTTCCTATTGAAGTGCCTGTTGCACTGTTGCTGTGTGATAGTGGGGCTTGACTGCTGGTACTAGTGTGCCTCTGGACAGTATTATTTGCCAACTGTCAACATTTTAGCTATGCCATTAATAAACTGAGATTATTTTTTGTATACCAGTCTTTTTCTCCTTTTTTTGAATCCTTAAAGTCCCTGTAAAGTCAAAATTAAGTATGTGTTCTGAGTCTGTCATACCACAGAAAAATGTGATTTTAGCCACCCAGCCAAATTTGAATGATAAAAAAGCCGGCAAGTACATAAAATAAGCTATCAAAATCTTGAAAAAATGAGCAGTTATCTCTGTTCTCAAACGCTGGGGGCGTGTCCGCTGGCTGCGCTAAAACCACGCCCACTCACGGGAAAGCTGTCGACGGTGATATTAGGTGAAACTGCTCTCGGAACGGGAGGATGAACGCTGAGGCGGAAGATAGTCGTTTCGGCCCCGTTCACCAGCAGCATCGGATTATCAGTGAATGCCAGTTGTCTCTGAGAAAGTTTATAAAACGATCCTGTGTACAATGATCACTACAGAGGCGGGTGTTGCTGTCGGTGATCCTCAGCTCTTCATCAAGGTTGGTTCTACACAAAATTAATCCACCTCTTCTTGATGTGATCGCTTTTAGGAAATTTAAATAAAGACACTGATCTGTTTTGTACATGATCGCATCCAGGTAGTAGCCTATGCATTTCCTTGTCAAACGCATAGCAAGCCTGCAAACTGTAGACTGTATTAACTAATAGTACTGACAGTAACTCGCAATTGAGCAGCGAATGCAAATGTGCTCTATTGTTAGGGGAGAGATCAGCCCCTGTCTATGGATCAGCCAACGTGCGTCATCGAGTTGGGGCGTGTCCACGAGCTCTTGGGCTCCAGTGCGTCATCGAGCCCTGTTTTAGCCCCGCCCAAAAAATCCGTAAAATAGCAAGGGTGAAAAACTGTTTAACGGTCTAACTCCGTATTTCAGAACTTCACAGTTCACAGTCTTTGTAATATGTTTTAGCAATACATTTGTAACATTTATAATGTGTTTAGAATTTTTTTGTTGAATTACCTTTACAGGGACCTTAAGATACCAGCTGAAGGGAACAAAGTAATGTTAAGAAGTATGTGTATTCTTTCACGATAAGCTCCTCTGCAGACGAGCCTGTGTCTTTCTCACGACAGAGTCCGCTCTGCCGTCTCAGCTGGTGTTCTTTCCCCCCTATAGACGCTTTCAGCAGTGACAACATAAACAAACGGTACTGCGCATGTGCATTAATTTGGCCCAAACTTAACTTCCGGCAGACTTGCGGAGACAATCCATAACAAGTAAATAACCTAGTAGCTGGTATTTCTTGCCAGTCAAAGAAAATAAATGTTACCTGGCCAAACTGAAATGTGACACTACCAGACCCGTTGAACAAAAATTGGAGACAAGATGTTTTTCTACCGACGAGTCTGAGTTACCGCAGTGTTAAAAAAAACTGTGGCGAGCGCGACGGCGGAGTTTGATAAGGTTAATATAGCTCCTTATTAGCTAGGCTACTTACATGCTTCCTAACCTTTTTTAAGGTGGGTCTCCACATTGACAGCATGTTGGATGGATCTGTGCAGCGCTGTTTATGATACTAACCATTCAATAGACAGACTGGTCCGCTGTCAATGTGTTTGCGAGAGAGAGAGAGAGAGAGAGAGAGAGAGAGAGAGAGAGAGAGAGAGAGAGAGCGTGCGAATATGCGCTGCAAGCAACTCTGTAGTCAATTACAACTTTTCCCATCTTAAATTGTTAAAAACACGGAAATCAATATGTGGCGGTCAGCTCTGATAATGTGGTGGGCTGCCACTTATAAATGTATGGGAAACACTGTACCGGTTATCACTCAGATAAACATAGGCTATTTTTAATTCCGCCGTCTCCCTCATAGGAAACCTTGACATTTTTATTTTTAAAAATTGCGTTTGCTCCCTAGGTCAGGTTGCACCCCACAGCTCACCAACCTGCTCATCACCTTAACTTTCACTGCATTTGTAGTCAATGCCATTATCCAGTAAACACTAATAAACGAACAGAACGGAAGTTAACTTTGGGCCAGTTCATCACCATGGCAACGCGTCTGATGAAAGCGTTTATAGGCTGGAACCACCCCAGAGACTGTTGCACTACCTTGCTCGGCTTGTCCTTATGTGTAACCTCCACAGTACCTCCCTCCGGGGTAGGATGTGGCTTTTGCAGCATCCTCTTCTCCAAGGGCACGGTGACGTATGTCCCATCGCCACAGTTGCTGAGCTTCCACTGTATGGGCGAGTCACAAGTCCGGCTGCTCAGTAGAAAAAAAACAAAGATGAGACGCACCTGTTGCTCATTATGTGCTTGCGCTGCAATGCACAGAAGCTGGTGCAGTTATTGCATGCCAATGTGCATTGGTTCATTTAGTTTACACTCAAAGTGGACTGGTCTCTCAAGCGAGATCCCCAGTTCTTCAGATCACCTCTGACATATGTCTCTGTTCCCTCCTCAGGGAACGGGGGTTACCATATGGTAACTAAACTCCTAGTCAGAGCCTGACTCCACCCATATGACTTCACTGGCAATATTTGAAAAATGCTGGAAAAGTGGGCAAAGCCCAGTAGAGATGGAGGGGACGAATTGAGGCAAGGCTGAGCGCGGGTAATGCACATGAGACACGTAGTGACAGCTGCTGTCAGACTCACTAAAATGGAGAGCGACTGGAGTATATTTTGCTGCTATTTGAAAAAAATATTCAGCAAATTGTGCTGGTGCGTTTGTTGACACCAGAGGGTTGACTTTAGCCTAATAGGAAGGAACATAAATTGTGATTAAAAAAATATGCTCACTCACATCATGACGCCGCTGCGGTGGTGGATTCTATGCAAGAAGAGCAACATTTGGAACTGCGTAGCTTTTCACTGCGAGCTGTGTGGAGAAGCCCATTTCCACCTCCATTGCATTGGAGAAGCAATTCCACGTAAAATGCAGGTTGTACACTCGAGCGATAGGCGGGAACTCACAGTCTGTCAGGCCAAGTGCATGCAACCACTGGCGCCTAATTTCCAAGTCTAGTGGAAACTTAAGAGTACTGTCACAGAGTACCCCTACTTCAGGAGCTTTCTGTTTAACCTGATAGGGCTCCACTCAAGACGTTTTTACACCATATATTTGAAAATTAAAACACTTTATACCCAAATGTCAAAAAATGTAGTTGAATCAATTAACAGCATTTGTAAAACTCTGTTTGTAAAATTAAAAAATGTAAAAAAAAAAAAAATTGAGATTTGTCATTAACTAAAAAAAAAGTTGTTTTAGTGTTTAGTTACCCTTTAAAGACCTTCAACATACCAGCAAGTGTTGACAGAAATGCGTGTGCTACATCCGTGCAGTGTTGCATTTCACTCTGCCTCTGTTTGTTTCATTGACAATGGGCTGAAATAAGCTCAGTTAAGTTGATTTAACTTAAATTCAATAGAATGAGAAAAATCCCTCAAATCATGCACCTAACTCAAAAAAGAGAGCGAATACTATAGAAAAATTGTAATTGTTTATGTTTAGTGTACTTAATGGATTTGGATTAAAACACTTTCAGGGATAAGAAGGTTTGGTTCACTTATTGCAAATGTCTAGGGAGAGAAGTGTAATTTGAAATTGAGGACATATGCTTAAAATTAATTTATACTCATTTCCTTGTTATTCAGAAAAAAAAAATACATATTGCACTATGGGAATTAAAAGGGCAGACCTTAAGGAGCCAAGTGCTGTTTTTAAGTCAAATAGTAGCATCAACAGCTCTTCCATGTACTGTTTTTAGTTTGAATGAGTTCCAAGTATATAAATCTATCAATTTTCAAATTTCAAAAAGAAATGTGCATTTAAATAGAAAGGAAAATCATATTTTTTTGGAAAAATCTTTTTGATATGTTTGATTTGATTGACTTTGTTACTATTTAATGTAACAAAAACTTATTAGAAAAACTATTCCATGGTTAGAACATAATGAATACTACAGAGGGCTAATTACAGCAAAAAAAGTACTTGCAAGAGATTATTTAGAAACTAAATGTATTTGAAAGATATCAAAATGAGTCTGCATTGATCAGTGGCACAAAAAAAATTACCATACATTTTTATTTAGTTTTTCTTCATTTCTCAAATGTTTTATTTTAACACTGAATTTATAGCATTAAAAGACACAAACCAAAAATACACACTAACCCTAGTGAAATTACCTAAACTTGTCAGGTAATAACATGAATGTCTTAATGTTTTTTAAGGTGCTTCCTGTGCTAGATTATCGAGAGCTATTCCATGAAAGCGGAGAAAATGCCAGCCTTCCTTAGCTGTGAGGTCCTCTGCACCTTTAGCTAAATAAAAGTCTAAAGAGGGCTTGTTCCAATCCAGTACAGAGAACTGTAAACGCACACAATGCTGCTCTTTGGCCACCTATAAAACAAAAACAAAACTACATTTAAAACACATTGCTCAATAGCTGAGACAACAGAGTTTGTTTAACCACAAAATATGTACAATAAAATGTAATACCATGATGCAAAAAGTTATCAAGATAATATAGAATTATATATAAAATAGCATTTTTAAAAACTCACTTTGGCAACAGTTGCCATTAAAGCCTTTCCAATGCCTTTACCTGTAGCATAACCAGAGATGAGTGAGTCAACACACAGTTCTTCATTTTGGATCAAACTCTAGGTTACTAAGAATATATACACACCTCTGTACTCTGGCATCACATACAGATCCTCCATATACACAGTCCTTCCTTTCCAGGTGCTGTACGTATAGAAGAAGAAAGCATAGCCAACCTTAGTGTGTCCTGTGGAAAACCAGCTACAGTAAGAATAATTTTGAGGACTATATATATACAGTATATATATAAACCTCCTAAAATGTCATTGTACTCCACTCACTCTGTGGGGTGGGGCAACTTGCGAGCTTTGTCATAGTAACTAAAACTAATTATTAATAATCATTAATTATTGTTAGTCTAATGCATCCCGATTAAAAATAAAAATCTTTATTTACAAAGCGACTTACAACTGAGGACTAAACGAAGCAAGTCATCGTGAAGAGGCAAAAACAGCGCAATAAATGCTCAAAATACAAAGTTCAGACATTGCTCGGTGTAGCATAAGCCAGACAAGCGAGGATTTAAAGGAAAAGGAAAGTTTTTTTTTTATTTTTTTATGTTAAGTGCTCACAGACAAGACAAGTTTTCAGTTGTGTTTTGAATGCTGTCAGGGATTCTGCATTCCAGATGAGGGTGGGCAGTTCATTCCACCAGCATGGTACCGTGAATGAGAAAGTTCTGGAGAGTGATTTTGAGGTCACAAGCCGTTGCTCATTGACCGATCGTAGGCTTCTGGTAGGGATGTAGACTTGTGGTATTGAGTGGAGGTAGGAGGGAGCTGAGCCTGTGGTGGTCAATCTGTAAGCAAGTGTCAACACTTTGAACTTAATGTGAGCAGCGATTGGTAGCCAGTGCAGAGAGATGAACAGAGGAATGACGTGGGCCCTTTTGGGCTTGTTGAAAACCAGACGAGCTGCAACATCCTGAATCATTTGTAGAGGTTTAGCCAGAAGAGAGAAATGACCAGGGCCTGGATGAGAAGTTGTGTTGCATGGTCAGTTAGGAAAGGCCTGATCTTCCTGATGCTTTTACTATTCCTTTGTCTATGCTCTCATTATTCTTTAATCCTTCCCTGCTCTAGCTTGTACTATTTTGGACAATGACTGAAACTTGTTATTACTGACACTTCTCGTGTTTATTGCCTTCTTTAGATTAATTGCTAGTTTTACTTGTCCTCAACTGTAAGTCGCTGCTAAATTAATAAATGTAAATGTGATGTCTTTCTGTCTAAACTGAATACAACTAAAATATCTATTGATAAAATAACATAAACATATAAACTACATTTAATGTAATAGGTTATATCAGGTAAACCAAAGATTTTAAGTTATTGTTTTCCATATATTCCTACCCTGTTTTCTGTACATATTATGTCATTTTTGGTCTTTTAGGAGTCATTATTACCATCTTTAGACATGTGCTCCTCAGGTACCTCAGCTATAAGACACTGGTAAAAAGGATTGGGGCCAAATCCATCCCTCTCCAACTCTAAAAGAAAACCAGTAGAACCAGACTCTAATTAGTAAGCAACATGTGGCTTCATTTTGGCTGTAATAACAATAAATTAATGGGTCAGCCTTTTGAAAACCTTTATGGGATATCTTCACTTGGTTGGGCATCTTTTCATAAACAGCCAATTCCTACAATAAAACATACACAGATAATCGCAACTCATTCTGCATTCAACAATCATTGGGTGCGAGTCTTAATCAGCTCCCTCATTCAGTATTCAGGGCACTTATGTCTATCAGCCATGTCGTTCCATTGGTTGTCTCAGCCATGTTGTTCTGTTGGCTGTCTCAATCGCAAAATCCTACCAGTGCACTGAAACATTCACTACCTTAAAAGTCTTATAATACACTACAAAAACCAGAGAGCATCGACTTAACGGAAGTTCTGGAGTGCAAATCATAATTCACGTAAGCATAATCACTACACATTCACTGCAACACATTATTTAATTATATTTTAGCATAAACAAACATCACTCGACAGGTAATGAACATAATCTAGATTCTAGGTAACATTTATAATTTATTTCCAGTTAAAATGTTGCACACACTGTGAGACATTTCATGTTAGTTTAACTTGGAAATGCAAGTTCACCTGCTGCCTTGAAAATCAAAGTTCATTCAACTTGAAGGTTGCCTTTGTTTCAACTTTTAAAGTTTAAAGTTAATGAGCTACTTAAGTGATTCATTGAGTGATGATTGATCATTATTGAAGACACCTGATATGAGTAATTCTAACAAGCAGAATCACTGAAGGAGAAAATCATTATTTTTAAGTCACCATTATGGAGATCGGTGATAGCTTTAGTTGGGCTCTTGACCCTTAACTTTAGATTTTGTTTGGCTGCTGAAACTGAGTGGTGAACAGCCATATAAACTAAGAGTAAAGGTGATCTGATGGTGTTGGTTGTGTTTTACCAGAATCATTATTTGAATCACTGAACTCATTTAGCGCCTAATCTCTGACCTAGATTTATAATGGTATTTACAACACAGTGATTCTACAGCATAAGATCCAGAATTTTCAATTTAATCCAAAGGATTTCCTAAAAGTTGTTCTGACAAACAAAATTCACTTCAATATTCAATTAGGAAAAGGAATTTACAGCCAAATCAGATTATCGCCTCAGATCGCCTGAGACGACAGATTTCCACGACGCACGCGCGAGAATTGCGCAAGTAGTAGTAGAATAAGAACTCAATTCTCACGCATGCATCGTGGAAATCTCTCGAACTGTCGTCTCAGGCCCAGAAGGAAGAAAAGGAATAGTCGAATAAAGTCGTTATTTTTGTTTTATTTCCGCACAAAAAGTTTTCTCGTCACTTGACAAACTTATAGTTGAGCCACTATAGTCACATGGAATATTTAAACATTTTCTTCAATGACTTTCTGGGCTGTCAAGTTTCAATCCCTTAGGAGCCTATGTAGCAGTGTAGCAGTAATACTAATAGTAATTTAAACATGTGGTAGATAGCATTGGGTCTGGACGTGAAGGATAACTTCGGGAGGTGAAGGGACATGTCGGTGTCGTGATTCTGTCTTCTCACACCGCGACACAGGTTCGTGGATCTGAGTGTCGCGATCGTTACAGCCTTACATAGGCTATATTCTTCTTGCAGATAAATATACTCACACAGCTTAGGTTAGAAGCCTCCAGTGAGTTCAACGTTTCAGGGGATATAGCCGGGAAATGCTCAGAGGTGACGAGGGGAGTTGAGAAGAGCAATTGTTTATTTCAGCGAATTTAAAGCTTTGACAACTTTAATCGTTATTTAAATACCTTTACTCAATTATCTGGACTACGAAACTTTGGAAGATTATTTTTGAATGTCTGTTCTTTGAAATTATCAAAAAAATGTTTTTTTGTTATTTCAACATGACATCATGACTTTTGCGTAAATATATACGCCACTTTTGCGCCAGGTGGCGTGTTATCTCTACGCATTTTGAGCTATCCGCGTGTATCCACGTGTATGCGTATATGTCTACGCCATTAACGTCCGCGTCATTCCGCGTGTCTGTACACAACGTCAAATCTCCAGTCATAAATGCCATTAACCCCAGTGACGGTTAAGTTTAGGGATGGGGTTGAGGTAAGTCATATCTTTATCTTTCCTAGGATGGTAAGGGAACATTCATAAATGCCATTAACCCCAGTGATGGTTAGGTTTAGGGACGGGGTTGAGGTAAGTCATATATTTATATAACGTTAACTCAACGGCGTTCATAAACACGCTGAAAGGCGATTATGCGTCTTGATAGCACGCCAAAAATGGAAATACGAATTGGCGTGTCATACACACGCTACTTCATGAGATCAGTCTGGTTATTTCATTGTTTTTCCACATAATCGGCCCATATCTTAAAATGGAACGTTGCGACTTCCGACTCATTTCGCCAGAGCGGGTCACATATATTGATTGATGCATTTGCGCGGAGTACATGAGTGACCGTGATCTAACGTAACCCCGGTTATGTGACTATGCTTGGCAAATCGCGTCTGGGCGCGTGAGTGTTTAATCAGGCCGTGGCGTCTTCCTCATTCAGAAGTGTGGGTCGATTGACGGCTGTGGACAGGTTTGTGTTTTACAAACTTTTCACTTTTGTGATCGATTTATGCTTTCAAGTTAAGCTTATTATTGTAACTCTTTAGAACAACTTACTGGCTGTAGGGAATTCGTCGCTGTCATCAAGTTATGTTTAAAGAGCAACTGGTGAGTATTCTGAATGAATGAATGAATGAATGAGAATGAGCTATATGCTAAACGGTGGCACTGAACGTTGATATTAGCATTGCCTGCTTTAGACAAATGTTTGGATTCATTGTATTGTAACAGTCAAAACTGTGTACATGTTTTTTTTTTGGTTGTAATTGTACTACACACCTTCAGGGGGCACCAAGGGCTAATACCATCAGACATAAAGCAGGTGGAGAGAGTAGAAGAAGGAGATGGATAATGGAGGAGTAAGCATGTCTTATGAATTCAAATGATCAATGGTCCTGATTGGGAAACTAAATGTTTTATGCTCAATTGGAAAAGGACTTCACGTTCTGGTGGTTTTTTTGTCCTTCTGTTGCTTATGCCTGACTGAGTATGTTTGAAACTACATGAAGTGAGTTGGGAAAGTTATATGTCTTACCCCTGTTGATCCTGGAATTGGATTATACCTGCACAGTTGTGGATTATGAAGCTGTTTTACATCATCTATGTGATTTGGGATCAACAATAAGATGGACACTGGGAAGATGTGGAATTTATATTCTTTGTTCTGAGATTTCCTGGACATTGACTTTGAGAAAGTGATCAATGAACTTTCAACGTGATTATCTTTGGCATCTCTCCTTAGTCATTATCGTTATTCAAAAACAGATAATACTTTAATTTATATGTAACTGGTTATTGAGTAAAAAGAACCTGTAAGAAGTTTTGTGTGTCCATAAGAGGGTTACAAAAGATAAAAGAAAAATACAATGAATGAAAAGTATTTGTTTAATATTGTTTTGCATGTCATAGATTGATAAAAAGCCTTTCCTGTCTACCTTAAATAACATATAGCTAGTGAAAAAACCCACCCTATAAAAACAGATTTATGACTAATTCTTTTGTGAGGTGAAGGAAACAGTTATATAATGGCGCCCGAACAGGGACACTAACTATATGTGTGGAAAAGAGGAGCTAAGATGGCAAGTCAAACAGTGAGGGATAAGGATGAGCGCGTGCCAGATGTAGATTTCTCATCTGATACATTCACCACACCTAGAGAACCCGTTAGAGATTTAATAAATACCTTCAGTGATCTATACATAGATTCTGAAAATGAAAGCGAAGACAGTATTGATGCCTCAGATTGTGGTTTTCCACCACCTCCTCCACCTGCAACAGAGAGAGAACCCTTTTTTGATTCCTTTACCAACCTCATCGAACAGCTCACTGATAGATTCAATGTGTTGGAAGAGCGAGTTGATGAATGGGTAAAGAACATGAGTGGCTTTGTTTCACAAGAGGAATTTCAGAACAAATGTAAAGGGATGGAAGATCGTTTGTTGTATCAAATGGAACGTGAATGCGAGAGAATAAAGAAAGTTGGAGAAATGTCGGTAAAGGAACTCGGTCAGTCAATGATAGATTGTCTGAAAAGAAGGGATGCGCAGCTTGAAGCCAAGTTCAAATCACAAATTCCAATAACAACGCCTGCAACATCTAAAATTGGGTGTGGGGCTCATGATTATGGACAAAATCACACCTATGAAATTCATCAAGGATCTTTAACAAGTCAAGAGAAATCTATGTTAATGCCCTACAATCCACCGGTCAAATTAGACTTTCCCTGTTTCAGTAATAAGCAAGATGAGGATCCTATTCTGTTCATTGAACGTTGTGAGGAGTACTTTGCAGTTAGACCACTGAGTGATCAGGAAATATTGGCCTCTCTTAATACAGTGCTTAAGGAAACGGCTAAAGACTGGTGGCAAGCCGAAAGAAGGAAAGTAAATAGTTGGAGGAAATTCAAGGATATCTTTCTACAGTCTTTTCTCAGTGAAGATTATGAAGATGTAGCGTCAAGACGGCTTGTGGAGAGAAAGCAAGGTCCCAAGGAGAGCATAAGAGATTTTGCCTTTCATTATCGTGCTCTTTGTTTGAGATGGAGGGATACTATGTCAGAGAAAGACATTGTACTGGCCATATTACGTAACTGCAATCCCCGTCTGGCTAGTTTGTTGAGAGGTACTGTGACAAAGGTTGGCGAACTGGTTAGAATTGGAACACAAATTGAACGTGATTTTGATGAAGCAAAGAAACATTGGAGTCAAGTAAATTCTGCAGAGCAAAAAAGAAATATGCCAGCAAGCAATAGAGTGGTGCAGTCCGTCGAAAAGCCACATCCAACTGTGACTAAGACAGTCAATATACCTATAATCCTAAGGGATAGGTTTTTCTCAGCCATGGTGGACACAGGTAGTTCATTGTCTTTAATTCAAGAATCAGTCTGGAAACAACTGAATCATGGTGAACCAAGTCAGCCGAGCAAGGGCCAAACATTTATGTTGGCCAATGGGCAAAAGCAAGCAGCTACTGGAAAGGTGACATGGCAGTGCAAAATACAGGGTCAAAAATTTGACTTGACACTGTTTATATTGAAAGACAGAGATTTAACAGTGCCGGTCATTTTAGGAATGGATTTCTTGTTGCATTCTGGTATTGTGCTGGATTTCAATAAAGCCCAATATAGTCTACAGTCTCCAAGCAGCCAAGAAGCAAACCAGTTTTTCCCCTTTGTAACGCAGGATTCTTCTTCGTCAGTTTATTTTTACTTAGCCATACCCACACTGCCCATTGATGACACAGTGGTTGAATCTATACAAAGACTAAAAGGTAAAGCAGAGACCACAACGATATACAAGGAAAAATTGGAACATCTGTTGACGGACTGGCCTTCTGTATGCACAAAAGTGATTGGACATTCGAGCGTGGTCAAACATCGGATTATAACCACTGATGAACTGCCAGTCAGAAAAAGGGCATATAGACTTTCTGTGGATAAACAGAAATTTGTTGATGATGAAGTTCAGGATCTGTTGAGTAAAAATATCATACAACCATCTGTTTCACCGTGGGCATCTCCTGTTGTGGTGGTACCAAAAAAGGAAGGAGGTAGTAGGTTGTGCATTGATTATAGAGGCTT